CCTCGTGCGCAGCGGGGCGCCGCTGCTCGTCCGCTCAGCCCCAGAGGGGTGTCCACCGCGGGCTCCTGGTCCGTGCTTTGCGGTCCCGCAACAGCCCTGTAGAGACTCGCGTGGAGGAATGAACCAGCTTTGGCTCTTTGTCTCGTCGTGGCATGTCAGGTTAGCTGTCATCCCAGAAACAGTGACACACCCTGGGGCTCAGCACCCACTTAGCCGGGGTCGCGCACTCGCTGAGCGGGAGCAGGTTAGGAACCAGGCGTGGGGAGGGGAAGCCTCTGAGCCCGCAGCCCTGGCGTGGGATTCCCAGGTGTGCGGGGGGCGGGGGGAGACGGAGCAGAAGCTGCAGGTCACTGCGGTGCGGACTTGTTGCTCGGTGCGGACTTGTTGCTCGGGCAGTGGAGGCCGCCGAGGGTTTGGGCACCGTGGAGAGGGGTGGGCAGAGGGGTCATAGGTCCCTCGCGCAGTCCAGCCCCGGCTACTGAGACTCGCACGACAACACCAAGCCGCTTGCTTTGCACCTGCTCCGTAATTGGCACACGACCCACCCGGGGCCCGTCACTCACAGCCTGCCTGCCAGCCACACCTGAAACCCATTTCCCACCTGAAACCCATTTCCCACCTGAAACCCATTTCCCACCTGAAACCCATTTCCCACCTGAAACCCATCCAGCTCTCCCGCTCCGTAGCCACACCCACCCTAGCCACGCTGGGTCCTGGGCCCCCACTAAGGAGTTTTCATCTGGTCTCCTGTTTCCACTCTTGCTCTTCCCGGATCCATTAAGCGGCAGCTGCAGTGAACTTTCACCCCATGTAAGTTCTTTTACTGCCTCTGCTGAACCCTCCAGTGGCTCTCCAGGCGCCCACAGTAACGCCCGAGCCCTCCGCAGCCCTTACACTAGGGTTCCTCAGCCCCCTCCCTCACCTCTGCCCCCTCCTCCTCCATATCCAGCCACTGCTCTCTTGCTTCAGGGGCTGCGCAGGTAACTGTTCCCTCTGCCTGGTGCGCGCTCTCCAGATGTCTCTGTGGTTTGGTCCCTTACTCCACCCAGTTCTTGCCCGTGTCCTTTATCAAGGTGGCTTTCTACACTGCGGTATTCAACAGCCTTCCCGGCCCCTGGCCTCCTGACCCTGCTGTCATGTCCCGGCGCTGAAGTTCATTCTGGTTTTCAGGGTCTCTGAGGGCTGGGACCCTGCCTGTCTTGCCTGCCACCGCACCCCTGGCAGCTGGAAGAGATGGCAGCTTCTGTGGGGGTGCAGCGGCAGGGACAATAGGCTGAGGCTAACGTGGGTTGACGGGGAGGCCTGTCGGACCAGGACAACGTGGCAAGAGTGGCGAAGAGGAGGCTTTGAGGCCTGGCTTTGCTATTCTGGACTTGGGCACGTGCCTATTGGTTAGTGTTCCTTGGCCTCCTTTTTGCATTGCTGGGCACCTGAGACATCCAGATCTGGAAGTGCTACGAGCCACCCCTGGCACCCGTCTCCAGCTTCCCACTTGCTTCCATGTTCTCCTGTTCGTGGGTTTTGTCCCTAAAACCCCGTTGAACCCAAGAACCCAGGCCACCTCAGCAGATTGAAGGGGGTGCTCAGTGATGGCTCCATCTGCTGCTCTGCTGGGGCTGAGACCCCCAACACAGGGCCTGCCACCTACAGAGCGGACTCCAGACTCTTGGAAATGTTTTGATTTAGACGTAAGAGCCCAGATTGTCATGTTCAGTCCTTAGAATGAATTTAACCCAAAGCTAAACTAGCTCTGTGCCAGTTCCACTAAAGCATGCAAGGTACTTGAGTTTCCTGGGAAATGCTGAAAATGCTCATGGCGCCTGTTCTAAAGTGGCTGCAAGTCATTTGGGGGAAAGTTGGCCAAAGAGCACTCTGCTGACAGAAGGCAGGCAAGGGCTGGCATAGCAGGTGAGCTCAGTCTGTCCTCTGGGAGAGGGACTCTGGAAAGAGCTAGAAGACACGCTTAAAAGAATAAATAAAAGCACTCCCAGAGGCCCACAGGGTGTGGGTAACTTGCTCTCGGGACCAGGGAGGCGAAGGTGGAGGCTGAGGCTGGTCCCGGGACGGGCTGGGCCCGCTCACAGGCTCTTTCCTTGCAGGCCCTGCCATGTTCCGCAGGCTGGGCTGGCTGGTCCTGTACAGCCTCGCTGTGCTGCTGCTCAGCTGCCTGCTCTTCCTGAAGAAGGAGGCCAAGCCAGCAGGGGTCCCCACCGCCCGCCAGCCCTTCTGGGCTCCCCCGGGGCCCCACCGCAGCCACTGTCCACCCAACCACACTGTGGCGAATGCCTCCCTGTCCCTGCCTAGCCGGCACCGTCTCTTCTTGACCTATCGCCACTGCCGCAATTTCTCCATTTTGCTGGAACCTTCAGGCTGTGCCGAGGACGTCTTTCTGCTCCTGGCCATCAAGTCGCAGCCTGGCCATGTGGAGCGGCGTGCGGCCATCCGCAGCACGTGGGGCCGGGTGGGAGACTGGGCTGGGGGCCGGCAGCTGAAGCTGGTGTTCCTCCTAGGGGTGGCAGGACCCGCACCCCCTGCCCAGCTGCTGGCCTATGAGAGTCACGAGTTTGACGATATCCTCCAGTGGGACTTCACTGAGGACTTCTTCAACCTGACGCTCAAGGAGCTGCACCTGCAGCGCTGGGTGGCGGCTGCCTGTCCCCATGCCCACTTCATGCTAAAGGGAGATGACGATGTCTTTGTCCATGTGCCCAATGTCCTGGAGTTCCTGGATGGCTGGGACCCAGCCCAGGACCTCTTGGTGGGAGATGTCATCCGCCAGGCTCTGCCCAACAGGAACACCAAGGTCAAGTACTTCATCCCACCCTCCATGTACAGGGCCCGCCATTACCCGCCCTATGCTGGGGGTGGCGGGTATGTCATGTCCAGAGCCACCGTGCAGCACCTCCGAGCAGCCGTGGAAGAGGCCGAACTCTTCCCCATCGATGACGTCTTTGTGGGTATGTGCCTGAGGAAGCTGGGGGTGAGCCCCATGCACCATGCTGGCTTCAAGACATTTGGAATACGGCAGCCCCTGGACCCCCTGGACCCTTGCCTGTTCAGAGGGCTCCTCCTGGTGCACCGGCTCAGCCCCCTGGAGATGTGGACCATGTGGGCACTGGTGACAGATGAGGGGCTTAAGTGCGCTGCTGGCCCCTTGTCCCAGCTCTGAGGGTGGGCTGAGTGGATTGAGTGTAGATTTTCCTATCATAGAAGAAATTGAGAAACTTGAAACTTGACCCATGATGGTCTACAGGAAATGCTTAGTTTTTGTAACCCCCTCCCACACTTTTCTAACTTTGATTAAAAACACTGAAACCTGGCTAACCTGGACCGACACGTGTTGAATGGTTCCCAAAGCACAGCAAATGGGGGAGGGGAGTGACGGGTCGGGGGGCTCCTGGAGCCCTTTGGCATTCTGCCAGTCAGGGGGAGGAGGGTGAAAGTGAGAGGCTGCAGAGGACCCCAGAAAACACACACATTTTCATTTTTAAATGCAAAAAAAATTATTCTCCTTCAGATACAATAGAGAAACTCGAAAGAAAGGAGGACACAGGAAGCAGGTGTTGGAGTAAGTCCTGTTGAAAGTACCAGGTAAACACACTGCATTCAGTCCCTTAAGAATAATGAATGGACTTTTGGCTGCTTGGCCTGGGCTGTCCTTGCAGGGCCAGGGGGCCAGGTCAGAGAAGGCATTAGAAACACTTAAGAAGAAATCTTACAAAGAGAACAGGCTCCCCTCGCCCCCAAAACTCACATCCCTATGGAGGGAGCAAATACTAACTCCTATTTGAATAAGTTTGGAAATGAGGTTAAAACAGCTACTGAACTTGTGGGCATGACAGAAAAGGCCTCTGGCCAGGTTGGTGAGATGCTCTGGGCAGGAAGTAAAACAATCGGTGGGTGGGTGAGAGGGCAGCTGTGCTGAGTGGGGTGCAACGGTAAACAGGTTGCAGTGCCCCGGACTAAGAACCAGGTCTAGTACAAGCCTGAGACCAGGGTTCAGGGGTCAGGCACTCACAGCTCACAAAATGCCTCTGGCCTGATGGGCCAGGGCAGGACCTGCGCCTCCTCTCCGTGCAGAGAAAGCCGTGCCGACCCCAGGCTGAGTGGGCGGACGTGGGCAGCGGCTCAGGCCCTCAATCCTCACGCAGGTAGGCCTCCTGATCCGGCTCAGCCCTGTCATCCGCCTCCTGTGTTTTCTGACGGAGTTCTTCTGTCTGTGCTTCTGCCAACTTGGTTTCTGCTTTCTGGGAGAGCTGGCGCACTTCCTGCACCTGCGACTTCACCAGCTGAATGTGATTCCTGGCGGTTATAGAGGCCTGATCTGCTCCTGCCAAGAGATGGGACAGTTAAGCTGAGCAGCCAGCAGGGCAGGTGCGAGTGGACGCAGGAAAGCTGGGGCTCCCTGCTTGTCATCTGAGCCCGTCCTCCCTGCCAGCCTTCTGTCTGCAGAGCAGAGAACTCGAATTCCACATTCAGGTGTGCATTTTACTTTTTATTGTCAAAGTCCTAGCATATTTCTCCAGCTATGAGCAGCTATCATTATAATTATTACATGCAATTCCCACAATCTTTATAGCTACCTAGCTCTTAAAATAGATGCTTAATTTAAATACACAAGTACTAATTTCTTTTTGATAAATTAAGAGACCACCAATAAAACTGGCCATATACATATGGAATGCTTAGAGAAATATTGCTGTTAAGTTTACATAATAGCACAAAAGGTATTTATTGAATGTCTTTTGCAATTTTGTTTAGAAATGTTTTTTGAGCTCTATAATTTCTTTTACCTGTTGCTAGTGTAGTTCATCACGAGATAGGCATATTTACCCATTATCTATTGATCTGGGTGGTTTTCTATCTTACTGCATTAATGAAAACCTCCGGTACAATGCTGAAAGGTAGTGGTTAATAGGCATCCACCTCTCATTTCTGACCTTGATGGAAATGCTTTTCATATTTCACTGTTAAGTAGGATCAACCTTTATCATTTAAGAAAATTCTCTCTATTCATAATTGTACTTAGATATACATCATAAATGGGTACCACATTTTACTGAAGTTCTTTTGGGGCATACATTGAGAAGATTACCTGGGTGGATTTTTAAAAACCTTTACTGTACATGACCAAGTAGTGAATTATGTTGGCAGTTTTTTCCAGTGCTGGATTATCACTGTATTCTGAGGGTGAATGGCTATGCTTGATTTACATCTGTATTTGTGACACTGAACTATATTTTTGTCTTGGTGCTGGTCTAGTCATCTTAGATCAGGCCTGTGCTAGCTTTATACATTATAATAGGAGGTTTTTTATCATCTATGACTGGTACGCTTTCTGTAACAGGAATTATGTTTCTAGAAGAGGAGATAAAACTCTCCACAAAACAGCTTGGGCTTAGTGTCTACTTTTGGGGCACAGAATCTTTGAATACTATTTCAACTTTTATGGTGATTGGTCTTTTTTTTGGATTCTTTACTTCTTGGGTCAATTTGGAATTCTCATACAATGTAAAAAACCTTCAAAACAATAACAGCTCTTTCTGATGTTGCTTTTGCTCACTAAAAAGCCACACATGCCAAATCTTATTTTTAAATTCTTTTCAAGGAACCAAATTTTACCTTTTGGACTATTTCTTTTTAGGTTTCTTATACGTTTTATTTCCTTTATTCTTACACTGTGTGGATTTATTTTGCTTTTTTTCTAAGTTCTAAGTTAAAAGTAACTTAGTACTTCTCATACAGTGAACATTACCTGTCATTCATGCTGCTGTTCTTTGTATTTATGACACTTGCATGTCAATTTCTCTTTAAAGCCAATTAGTTTACAGCTCTTGGGTCTGCTATATCCTGCATTTATCATCACAGTTCTAAATATATTTAACTTTCCATTTTGAATTTTGGTGGGGAAAGAGAGTGAAGGAATTTGCTGAGTCTTTGTCACCTGGCACAAAATCAGTTTTTGTACACGTTCTATTTGTTTAAAAAGAATGTGTGTGGAAAGTAAACAAAATGTTCTTTTTAGTATATATATTTGGTTAAGCTTTGAAAAATCATTCTGTTCCAACCCTTTAGCTTTAACTGTTTTGGTCTTGACCAGCAAGTCTGAGATGCGTGTAAAGCTGAATACCAGGTACCTCATGATTGGTATCTTCTCCATGAATTATTCTGTCCCTTTTAATGCTTTGTCTTGAATCCTTTTTCTGATTCTGACGTGGCTCTGCCAGCGTTTTTGGGTAACACTATTTTGTTTGTGGTTCACTTTTTCTAACTTTCAACTTTCCTATGCCATTTTGTTTTAGGTGCCTATGTAAACAGTTGTAGCCGAAATTATTTCTAACATAATCTAAAGCATCATTTAATAACAGTAAATTTAATGTTCTTATTGTGATTACTGATGTTTGATGTTGTTCCTCTGTTTTGCTTTGCCTTTTTTTTAAAAATATATTTTATTGATTTTTTACAGAGAGGAAGGGAGAGGAATAGAGAGTTAGAAACATCTATGAAAGAGAAACATCGATCAGCTGCCTTCTGCACACCCCCTACTGGGGATGTGCTCACAACCCAGGTACATGCCCCCGATCGGAATCGAACCTGGGACCCTTCAGTCCGCAGGCCGACGCTCTATCCACTGAGCCAAACCGGTTAGGGCGTCTTTTCTAATAGGTTTCATTTCTTCTCAACTGCCCTGCTTTTCTGTCCCTTCCCCCCATTCTCTTTGCAGTGTTTAATGTTAAGCCAATGTCCCTCTTCTTCCCAAAAAAGGTAAGAAGGCTTAGCATGCTTTCACTTCCCCAAATTTATTCATTTTTTAAAAATTTGTTCAATAAAAATTTGTTCAATACTCAGAACGTCTGACAAGTTTTACTAAATTTTATTCATTATTCTTGTATTTCAGTTGCTTGTAATTTTTCTTCATAGAGTTTTTCCAGAAAACACGTGTTTGGTAAACTTTGAGTCTTTTTATGCCTGAAAATATCTTTCATGCTCACATTTTAATGATATTTGGTTTATCACCTTGCATCTGGGGTTGCTTATAAGAAGACTGATGTCTGATTATACTTCCTTTGTAAGTACATCTACTTTTTTCTTATACTTTTTAGGATTTTTACATTCTGAATCTGTTTAGAGTCTTTGTGAGCCCTTTCAATTTGGGAAATGCCTGTTTTTTTCAGATAATGCTTACTTCCTCTCCTGGTTCCTCTGCTAGATTTAAGCCTGCCTGGGAGTCCCACTGCAGTGCCTCAGCCAGTCTCCACCTCCACTGCCACTGAGTGGCCTGGGAGTCCCACTGCAGTGCCTCAGCCAGTCTCCACCTCCACTGCCACTACCACGCCAGACCTGTCTTCAGAATCTGATTCCTCAGGTTTTAGTTAACTAAGAAGTCTTTTTTGCTTTTACTTTTTTAAAAAAAGTTTTTTGTACCCTTTTAAAAATTTGGCGCTAGAGACCCAAGCCTGATATCCTGAAACAGAAAAAGAAGTGTTTTAACATACCAGTTTCTTAATAAGAGCTGGTCCTGGGCTGTAATTTGTGAGCTACCTTTTTGGGACCATGGACCAGTCAGGTTTCTCTCAAAATATTTTTAAAAAAATATATACTTTTATTGATTTCAGAGAGAGAGAAAGAGAGAGAATGGGAATCAAACTGTGACCTTCTGGTTCATAGGTCGATGCTCAACCGTTGGGCCTAAACCCCAGTGTGGCTGCTTGTGCCACAGCATCCTGGGTGAGTTACTAACCCCTCTGCCGCCCCCCACCCCCCAGTTTCTTCACCTGTGAGGTGAGAATGACAATAGGTCCTACTTTAAGGAAACTGTGGATGTTTAAATTAAAAGTATCTATAAAATGCTTATCACAAAGCCTGAAATGGACAAACATTATTCATAAATTATCTAGGTTATAAAATAAATAATAAAATGTTTAAAAACTATTTGAAGGCAGTCCAATTTTCCAGTTGGCAGTAGTTTTACCATTTTATTTTCTAGATACTGACAATCTAGCTTCTACTGGCTTGGTCTCCAGGGGTGTTAGTCTTCCCCATTGTGCAAATAAGATGGGGACCTTTTCTCACCAAGTTAGAGCCACATGGGCTCTAGACCATCTAATCCAATCTCTCATTTTACCTCCAGAAGAGAACTCCAATGGCACCTCCACAGTGAAAACTGGAACCTACCGGTGTGGTATGCAGCTTCCGCCGCCATCTCTGAAAGACTGACTGCGGTCATCCAGGTATTCTCCAACCTCAGGTACTCTTGCTGTTTTGAAGTCATCTGTAAATTAAACATGAAGGGCTTAAGCACATTTAAAGGACTTATTCAAAATGGCAGATTTAGAGAACAGTGACTGGTTAGACACCACAAGGAGGCAGGAGCTGGCATACAGAAATGCCTGACTCCTTGCTTACCTCAACTCTGGCTCCTATAATCACCTGCCACACTTCATCTTCCTCCTGTGAATTCATTTTCCCGAGTAAGCTTGTATATTGTCGGTACAGAGAAACTAAGGTATAAACAGCCTACAAATAGAATAAACAAGTCTGAGTGAGATGAGTGAGGCATATGAAGTAGGATTAGTGAGACCCACACCTGCAGATGATAAAGCCCCATTACAGCAAACAGGCCTTCAGTCCTCGGCCTCCCAGACACGCATGGTGTGGGAAGTCGGGGCATTATTCCAGGGCGGGAGCTCCACTTATCAACTTTTGTGTTTTTAAAAGCTTGTGAGTACTTCAGACATAGAAAGAGCACAGTGCAGAGGGGAACTGAGAAGGCTCAGGAAAAAGCTACTAGAAAATAAAGATATGAGAATTTTAAATGATTCTGATTACCCATATACTCTATTAGCTCACAACAATGGTTTCCAAACTGTCCTCACAGAGAAGCCCCTGGTGCTGCTGGTGGTAGACTTTGGGCCCTTTCACCCCTAACAGAACCAAATCATCTTGGTTCCCCCGTCTTATAAACTGCGCTGCTATATTTAAGGTTTTTCTTTTAAAAACCAGTGCTTTCGATCAGGGCAAGAGTAAGTATTTTAGGCTTTGTGGGCCCTATAGCCTATTGCAACTGTTAACTCACAAAAGCAGGCTGGCCATGTTCCAATAAAACTACAAAAGCAGGCACCAGACCAGCTTGGTCTGTGAGCCAGGTTGCTAACCACTGGTCTAGATGAGCGAGGCTTACCTTAGTATACTCTGTGATGGCTTCAATCAACGCATACGTGGTCTGAGAGAGAAAGGTGGAGGTGCTATCTGTTACCAGAGACACAGCCCTCCTCATTAGTGCATCGTTACTGAGAGCATGAGGCTCTGATTTCTGAAAGACACAAACATTTTCACTCAACTTCCAAAGCACGAGCTGAGGTGTCCCAGACAGCCTGGTGGAAACATAATTCTCATACTGCACCATCAACTGCTTCTTTTTAAGCTTTATTTTGGCTATTTAAGACAATAAGTAGAAATAATTCCAGAGCATGCTCTCTACCTACTTTTATTCTTTAGTCTCTGCTGCAAACAGCAAAGTTTTCTTTTCATAAAAGGCTAGTTGTTATAACCAACAAATCTCATGAAGGTATGATTCATTCATTACCACAGTGCTAGATGCTTGGGATATGAAAATAAAGATATATTCTTTGCCCTCAAAGATTTCAGATAAGGAGGGGAAGGGCTGGAGCTTATAGAGAACTTGAAAAAGGAATGCAATCAAGACCATGGGAGCAATCACTTCTGTGTTGAATGAGAACAGCTTACAAAAGGCTTCAGAGTTGAGGATTAAGCGGAGAAGAAAGTGAATGGGCAACTCTGAGTAGAATGAGCTCTGACCACAGCGATTGTGTTAAAAAAGCCAATATAACCACCTGACTCTGCCTTTTTCTTCCTCAGCAGAACCCTGACTGTACTACAACTAACAAAGAAACTACCCCCCTCCGTCATCTAGTGTCTTGTTCTTGTTAAAGAGTGTAAATACATAGTGTTGCCTGTTGAAAGCAGCAGTCAATAAATATCTCTGATACAGGAGCAAATCAAGACTTTATCATATCTGTATTTCATTCAATCAAATAAGTATTCATTATGTACTGTACACTGAAGGGCTAGAAAGGGAGGAATGACAGTATTTGTGCTTATGAGAAGCTAATTTTGATCTGTTCTGATAACTTACGTCTTCATAATGCCCTACATTTTACAGTGCACTTTCACCAGTTCAGATAGTATCACTTCTTTTTTAATAGATGAGGAAATGGAAGCTCAGAGAAGTTATATAATTTCACCAAAAAGACAGACATCCAGACCTCACACTAAATCTTCCCATGGGCTCTGCTGACGGACTCAGGAGAGAGCCAAATGGACTATCATCAAATATAAAAATAGACAACATTAAGTGGTCAGAAAAGGAGATTGTTGGACGAGGAATGGCTTTAAGGAGAGGTGGACGTGGGCCTGAAGATAACGAGGATTAGTGGTGAGGCATCTGGTTAGAAGACACAATAGGAAAAGAAAACATGTGTGTAGGAGTGTTCAGGAACTGGGGCGGGAGGCACGGGAGTCCCTTGGATTTGAGTCTAACACAATGCAGAGCTGCCGCAGGTGCTGAAGAACAGAAATGCTGTTCCTGCAGAACAACTAGAGCAGCGGTTCTCAACCTGTGGGTCGCGACCCCTTTGGCGGTCGAACGACCCTTTCACAGGAGTCACCTAAGACCATCCTGCATATCAGATATTTCCATTACGATTCATAACAGTAGCAACATTACAGTTATGAAGTAGCAACGAAAATAATTTTATGGTTGGGTCACAACATGAGGAACTGAATTTAAAGGGCCAGAAGGTTGAGAACCACTGAACTAGAGGTTCCTCTTATGTGACCCAGACTAGTACACAAACTGAGAAAGACAAACCCAAAAATGTCCTAATTGTGACTGAAAATGGCTTGCTGTTCAAGTAAAGGCTTTAAGGTTAAAGATTCATCAATGTGCAGTGACAAAAGTTAAAGTGGAGGCACAAAAAGGTGAGGGCTCATCAGTGAGCCTCAGAGGATGCTGAAAATACTTGTAATAAATGGAATTAATCTTATGATAAACACATATTTACATATCAGGAATATTTTGCTAAAGTAGAATTTGCTGGTTTCCTATTTAGTTCTTCCTGAAAGATTATAACCAGTGATTTTAAAAATAAGGTACCACCTTTCATATCAACTGTCTACTTAACAGTTCCACCTAGATGTCTACCAAATATCTCAGACCATCAATTCTTTATTTCTTCCTCCAAAAACCTATGGCACTCCATTGTTTCAGTTGCTTAGGCCTTTGTAAAGCATCTAGATCAGGGGTCCTCAAACTTTTTAAACAGGGGGCCAGTTCACTGTCCCTCAGACCGTTGGAGGGCCGGACTATAGTTTTAAAAAAAACTATGAACAAATTCCTATGCACACTGCACATATCTTATTTTGAAGTAAAAAAACAAAACGGGAACAAATACAATATTTGTATTTGCATGTGGCCCGCGGGCCGTAGTTTGAGGACCCCTGATCTAGTTTATATACTCCACATCTGACTCATCAGCAAGCCCTGCTGATGACACGTGACCCTATTCTCCCCACCTCCACTGCTGCCCGCCTAGACCAAGTGCACCATCATCTCCTGCCTAGACTCCTCTTGGTCTTCCTAGTTTCACATGCACCTTTAAAAATTATGTCAGATGACATAATACTATATATGGAAAACCCTAAAGACTCCTTCCAAAAAATTATTAGAATAAATGACTTCAATAAAGTTGCACGATACAGAATCCACATACAGAAATCTGTTGTTTCTATACACCAATAATAAATGATCAGAAGGAGAAATTAAGAAAATAGTTCATTCACAATTGCATGAGAAATATACCTAGGAATAAATTTAACCAAAGAGGTGAAAGTCCTATACTCTGAAAACTGTAAGATACTGAACAAGACACAAATAAATGGAAGGATTAACATCATTATAATGTCCTCACTACTAAAAGTGACATACAGATTCAGTGCAATCCCTATTAAAATACCAATGGCATTCTTCTCAAAATTAGACCACCTATTCCTAAAATTTATATGGCACCACAAAACACCCCAAATAACCAAAGAAATCTTGAGAAAGTGGGAGCTATCATGCTCCCTGATTATTAAACTATACTATAAAGTGACAATAATCACACAGTATGGTACTGGCATAAAAAAAGACAGGACAATGGAATACAGAGTCCAGAAATAAAACCTCACTTATATGGTCAATCTATGACAAAGGCAGCAAAGATACACAGTGGGGGTAAAGACAATCACTTCAGTAAGTGGTGTTGGAAAAACTGGACAAATAGACCACTTTCTTACACCATATACAAAAATAAACTCAAAATAGGTAAAAAACTTAAATGTTAGACCTGAAACCATTAAATTCCTAGAAGGAAAAACACAGGCAATAAACTCTTTGACCATTGCTCTTAACAATATCTTTTTGAAAATATCTCCTCAAGCCAGGGTAACAAAAGAGAAAATAAACAAATGGTAATATATTAAAAAGTCTTGCCCTAACCGGTTTGGCTCAGTGGATAGAGCGTCGGCCTGCGGACTGAACGGTCCCAGGTTCGATTCCGGTCAAGGGCATGTACCTGGGTTGCGGGCACATCCCCAGTGGGGAGTGTGCAGGAGGCGGCTGATCGATGTTTCTCTCTCATCGATGTTTCTAACTCTCTATCCCTCTCCCTTCCTCTCTGTAAAAAATCAATAAAATATATTTAAAAAAAAGTCTTGCAAAGGAAACCACCAACAAAGTGAAAAGATAACCTGCTGAATGCGAGAAGATATTCACAAATGATACATCTAATAAAGGTTTAACATCTAAAATATATAAAGAACTCATACAACACCCCCCCGCCAAAATAAAAAATTAAAACATGTCAGGACCTGAACAGATATTTTTCCCAAGATGGCCAACACACATGAAAAGATGTTCAACATCACTAATCACCACAGAAATGCAAACTAAAACCACAATGATCACCTCACACCTGTCAGAATGGCTATTAGCTCTTATCAACAAATCAACAAGTGCTGACCAGGATGTGGAGAAAAGGGAGCCCTCATGCGCTGCTGGTGGGATTGTAAATTAGTGGAGCCGCTATGGAAAATAATATGGAGTTTCCCCCCAAAATTAAAAATAGAACTGCCATACGATCCAGCAATTCTACTTCTGGG